AGAAATGGGCTATAGAACTAAACAGAGAATTCTCAACAGAGGAAACTCAAATGGCTGAAAGACATTTAAGGAATTGCTCAAAAATATTATTTTATGAGTATGAATGTTTGTTGGTGTACTGTGTGCATGCCTAGAGCCGGTAGAGGCCAGAAAAGGGCAGCAGATCCCCTGAAACTGTAGTTGCTGACAGTTGTGAGCTGCATGTGTGTGCTGGAAACAGAACAGTTTCTCTGGAAGAGTTCTATGTGCTCTAAAACTGAGTCACCTCCCCAACCCCAAGAGTGGTTCCTCTTCATGTAGAGGAAGGCAAAGCTTAGTTACAGCAGGATGCCTAGTAATGTTCAGAAACAGGAATTGTGGAAGAGGGCAGAAGACCAGAAGATTCAAATTAATCAAACAGGAATCGCTTAATTGGTTTTATTGGAATTCATCAGAAGAAAAGAATTATCTGTGTTACATAGAAAAGGATTAATGACGAACTCGGTGTATTTTAAACACCAACAAGTGGTTAACAAAATCCATGTGAATTCTACTGTTTTTTTTTCCTTTTTACATAATGGATAAAATCTGATTTCACCCAAACTCCCTGTATTTACTTAAGTCTTTCCCAATCCAAACAATCCTTGTTTCAAAATTCTTTATTCACCTATGATCAGATTCCCAAAGAAGTGTTTGCCTTTACCACCACAATTAACAATTTATAGTGTTTTGTGAAAATGGACTTTCTGAAAATCAAAAATTCTAAAAGGTAAATGAGCTCCAAAATGTGAAATTACCAAATTACCAAGTCTGATTTGTTAACACAAATATGCCAAACATAATATAAAAAAAAATCAAGAATTTTATTTCCCAGGCACAAACTGTGGAGTTTCTTTCAAAACTCATCTTAATCCTCTGAATTGTATTTCCTTTTCATCGATCAGGCATGTTTCTCAGTTGACAAAATGAAAGACTTCAATTGAAGAAGATTCAATCCAAACTTTTACTTTACATCTACAGATTTAAGTTGATTTCAGGGCATTATCCCATTGATAGAGACATCAACCAATGCATCTAGTTTTGAATAATGCCTGTCTGAAACAGTATTATTTAATACAAAACAAAAGTTAAATTGTCCATATTGCAAGTATCACCTGCTGCATTTAGCAATGTTAAAGAAAAAATAATAGCTAAAATTATTTTGCTCACGCCGGGCGGTGGTGGCGCACACCTTTAATCCCAGCACTCGGGAGGCAGAGCCAGGCGGATCTCTGTGAGTTCGAGGCCAGCCTGGGCTACCAAGTGAGCTCCAGGAAAGGCGCAAAACTACACAGAGAAACCCTGTCTCGAAAAACCAAAAAAAAAAAAATTATTTTTCTCACTCCAGAATCCATTAAAAGCACTCTGTTTTCAACAGGGTTCTCTCAGGAATATTTTTGTAAGATTTAAAAAATGGAATACTTTCGACTCCAATACATAGTCTAAAATTCAGGTCACTAAAACACTGAGAAATTGTCTTCAAACTGTTTGTTGTTTGGTTTGTTTTTTTGTTTTGTTTTCTCCTTTCCAACCAACTATAACAATTACTCATCAAAATTACTGTATATTATTTAGAGTCCAGTAACACATAATTTCTAAAAACATTTATTGAAAGCATCAAATCAAGTTTGAATTTCAGTAAACAAAGCTATGGCTTCATTATATGTTGGATTTTTGCAGAGTACAGTCTTGCAAACAGCAGATATGATACAGTCATTTGAAGTAAAAGGTGATTGTTTTGAAAAATAAAGTAATACAAGACAAAGGTACAATATCAATACCTTCTGGTTAAGTGATTTGGGTCATGCTTATCTTCAAAATATTTCAAAAGCTGTTCCTTTTCTTTGGTACTTGTGCTTTCTGACAAAATCAAAGCATGCTAGCAATTCTTTCCACTTGGACTAATGTGTTCACACAATCTGTCTAAAAAGTTCAGCTATCAGGGGACAGTGGCATTCATGATCACCAGCTATGTTAAAGCAGGAGAAGGGAGCCACTAAGATTTCTTTTAGCAAACACCAAAGGAAAGTAAATCTTTAACAATGAGAGGCAATATTGTATAATGGTTAATTAAAAGCCTGAGCTCTTTGCAAGAAGGGCCAATTTAAAATTAATTGCAATCTTCTTTCCATGACTTACACGTCCATATTGTTTTACTGAGGCAAGTAATTTAGAAGCATGATTCTGTTATAACTGTATAAGTAGATAAGGAGTCTGTCAGTAGAATGCATTCAATGATTTTCTTATGGGAAATCAACTATTTTGATCACTGAATATGCAATGAAAGGTTACATCTAGAAGCCTGGAAAATTTGTGGTTCGGAGCATATAAGTTGCTCCTATGTAAGAATGAGAATGTCACAATCACCATAGGAAATTACAATGTCTAACATATCATAAACATAACCTGCAAATACATTTCAGCAACAGTAACATCACATCAAAATATTCACTAAAGTTAATGAGGCAATTCTGGAATAAGAGTTTCTTTCTTTCTCTCTCTCTCTCTTTCTCCTCTTTTAATTCCTCAAAGTTGAAATGAAGATATCCTTACACTACACAGTAATATCAAAAAAGAAGCATATGGTTTTTTGTAAAATCCTTACAGAACATAAGATATCTTGGCAGATAACAATCCTATTCTATGATATCTACTTAGTTTTAACTTCATCTCTCATTTTTCTCACCACCATGTTCACATTTTTATTATGCTTGTTTGCATGCGAGCACATCAACTAATCTATTATTTCAACATTTAAGCCTATTTCTTTTGAAGCCAGGAGTTTTATAAAAGCAATGGAGATACGTTATTTTTCAAGATGCTGAAGGAAGAACACATAACATTCAAGCTTGCTGCTTTGCCTGGGCTTCTGCTTCCTGGAATAAAAAACAAACAAAACATACGTTTAAATGTCAGAAGGCAGATACTCCTATGCATCTTGGTTAAAATAAATTTGTTCAAATTACTAGGATTATTCAAAAGCACAGTAATTATTTCTAGAGGAAAAAAGGCTTTCAAATAATTAGCAGAAGCTTTCATCGTGACAGAAAGTGCTATAGAGGCTGCTGGGAGAGAATAGGCATTAAATTCTTACTCAGCTGTGGATTCTGTATACCAAACAACCAGCTCTCCAGGCAAGAGGGGACCACCGGTAAAATGACGGCGTGACTTTTATGGGGGGTTAGCAACAGCTTTCTGATTGGACAGGAAGCCAGCTCCACAAGAGGAAATTCACATCTGGCTGTGATCCTGGTAAAAAGCCATGGGCCGGGAGGTCACAGGTATTAGGAAGAACCTACTACTGTTTCGCTAAGTGGTTATGTTGTATTCATCAAATTGCCTTCTAAATGTTTGTGTTTATGAGCATATAATTAGTGTTGCTTATAAACTTGGTCAGAGAAGCTTCTTTTTGCAATGCACAGCAGTTAATAACTTGTAAAATTACTAAGGAAAATGACTGCTGAATGCTCAGGCATAAATAAGACATCTGTAGCAACCCCTCCAAGTGTGAAAAATCACCTTGGAAAAGAGAGTGGGGAAAAAAAGAGCAAAAGGATTGGGAGGTATGTCTTTTAGGTACATCACGACCTTTGCACTCCTCTCGTGAACTCACAGGGTGGTTACCTATAGAAGACGGGAGTCTGACAACATTCCTTCATGGAATTAAGAGAGGGGCTTATGAGGCCCCATCCATCCTTGAGAAGATCTCTGCAGTTAACCATCAATGTTTGCAGTTAACAGTTGCTGAGGGTGGGGGAAGGTATTTTCTTAAATGGTGTATATGCTCCCCATCTATGTTCATATCAGCAACCCCTTTTGAAATTCAATGGGTCACACACAAAGGCATAGAACTAATAGTGGAATTGGATAGAAAGAAGAGGTTCAGGGAGAGGGAAACAAGGGAATGGGGTAAATATGATCAAAATACATCATATACTTGTATGAAATTATCAAAATACTTAAAAATTAAACAAAACTCTAAATAAAAACTAGCACATGAAATTGGGGAAGCAGTTACATAATAACGTATCTATCCTTGTCAAGTGTTTCTTCACGTAAATGCACATCACTTTTGAGTGCTTCACATAAGTGCACATCACTTTTGAGTGAGCAGTATTGGGAAACAGCCTAGCTTGCATAGTCACACTCTGTCTTTCCTAATGAAAGAAATTACTGAGATGGGCATCTAAAACAAAAGGGTATTCTACATTCTAGGTAACTGTCCATTAGAATGCATCATATAACCAGGCGTGTTTAATCTCAGCACTCAGGAGAGGCAGAGGCAGGTGGAGCTCTCTGAGTTCGAGGTCAGCCTGGTCTGCAGAGCAAGTTCATATTTAACTTTAGGAATAAAATATAATGTAGGACCAGTGAGGCAGCTCGGCAGGCAAAGGTGCATGCTGTCCATGATGCAAGCCTGATGATCTGAGCTCACATCCTGGAACTCACTCCTTTTGTCTACACATGTGCGCTGTGGTACTAATGCGCCCTCTCATCACACACACGCACACACACACACATTTGCACACATACTGAAAATTGAAAGAAAGAAAACAAGATCCATAAAACATATTCATTTAAGTATCCTCTGGCCTCTATATACACACACGGGTGCACGCGCGCGCATGCGCGCGCGCGCACACACACACACACACACACACACACACACACACACACCAATACACCAATAATAATAATAAAATCCTACTTTTAAAAAGAATAAAATATAAACTTCATCCTATACCTGCACAGATTTTGAGCTAAGTAATTCAGGATTCAGATCCCAGCTGTGCCACTCTATTGTGTATTCTTGAACAAAGTAAGTTATGTGAGTATCAGTTTCTTCTGTAGAATTATTTACAGACACTTTGCTCATAAAAGTGACATAAGGACAAAAAGATGAAAAGGGATATATACAAAATGTGCAGCTCGGTGCATGATTCATTACAGGCATCAATTCTTTCTTCTTTTTCTCCTCACCTCTTGACTGGAACTAAGTCCAAAGTCAGGTGTTATTAATCTTGGTTAGTAATCTCTTGGATGGATTATTTTCAATGAAAATAGGATTGTTTCACATACCACAGCTGAGGTAGATTCCATGGCCACTTTCCACCACATACTGAATCAGACAAAATTAATGAAAACCTTTTTCGAACCGTAACTCTCAACTATGTTAACAGGTTACTGCAAGAGCCTTTTGCAGCCCAATCAGTTTCTCCTTAAAGACAAGTATCACTGGATTTACTTTTCCATCAGAGTCTAAACTACTTTATTATTTCCTATCTTAAAGTCATCACTTTCACTACAAAGTAAGAACTGCTGGTGCTAAGAAATACTTTTGAATTAAAAAAAAGACAGGAAATTAGTAGTACCTCTTTCCTCTTAAGTACACCAAGTATGCAGAAGGGATAACAAAGCAGCTCTGTCTTCCACAAGAACATGCTTTATGGAAATACTTTCAGTGCAGTTCTTTTAGGTAGCAAGCTTTCTACTGCATTCGTTTCCAATCATTTTAAAGGGTATGCACTATTAGTTATTTGGAAAATAAGGAACGAGAGAACGTCACTTCTATTGGCTACTATTCCTTCCAGGCTCCTTTTTGTCCTATGCATAGGTTTTGAATAGAATTAGAGAATTATCCAGTAAAAACAAATCTATAATTCATTTTCATACATTTCTGTCATAAGCTACAATAGCTCCCTCTTATCAATACAGGAGATATTCCAACTTCCAGCGGACACCTAAAACCACAGACATCCTAGTTAGTATGGATTTTTTCTTATAAACTCATAAAAAAGCATAGTTAGAAACTACCAACAATAACTAATAATAGTGCGTTATAACAATAGTCTCTAGTTAAAGTTATGTGACTGTGGTTCCCTCCTTCTCTACTGCCATTGGGCATGTGGTGCCTACAGACCGATGCGCCAGGCAAAAGGGCAATTGAGATCCTGTATGGAATGGACTGGGATGGTGAGGGATTTCATCACACTATTCAGATTGACAAAAAGACATACGTTGTTTGTTCTAGAATTTCCAATTAGTGATTCCAGACTAGAGTGGACAGAACTATAGAAAATGAGACTGTATAAGAGGAAGCCGAGATATATTTTTAAATGTCAACATGAGCTCACTAAATGGACTAGTAGTTTTTTTGTTGGCTCTATTGTTGGCCATTCGTTTCCAATATTATAGATAACAGACATATACATAAAATGTATGTTTAAATTATATGATTATCATATTTTATTCATAAGTTTCATTGACGAATTAATTTAGTTGATGCTCCTTTGAAACATTTAACTTATCTCCAAAAGTTTGACATTATTGATTATATTCTTATTCATGCTTTTATTCATAAAGTCATTTCTATATCTAAGATTACTTCATCAGACTATATAATGCTCAGTGTGAAATTTCTGGGTTAAGGAGTAGAATAATATTCTTGAGTTTCTTGACAAATGTTTGCTTTTCTCATTTTCAAAGAAGAATAACAGCTTATTCTGCCAAAAGTATGGTTTCAATATACTTTCCCAGCACAGAGTCTTACCATTTTGTTTTACTTTTACTAATTTCACATTTTACTACAATTGCATCTTATTTTACTACATTTCATTTATTTTCAGTATACTTTTTCAATATGGATTAACTACTTGAATTTCTTTTTGGTAAGATTTATTTTTATTTTTTTAATTCTATGTGTAGGTGTGTGTGTGTGTGTCTGCATGTGAGTATGTGCACACATGTAAATGAGTGCAGTTGCCCTCAGAGGCCAGAGGTGTGGAGCTAGAGTAACATCTGCTTGTGAGCCACCTGACAGTGTGTGCTGGAAACCAAACCCAGGTCCTCTGGAAGAGCAGTAAGCATTCTTAACTGCTGAGCCATCTCTCCATCCACTACTACGTGAATTTCTTATCTGGTACACTTTCTATTCAGCCAAGTCATTCTTACAGGTATAATGCCATGGTGGTTGTCACTAAAAAAAAGTGACCAGAATAGAAAAATATTCTTCATAAATCAAACTGATCACTTTTAGTCTTGGGAAAATGTGCCAACATTCAAAGTTTCTCTTTAATCAATCCACTCCAGATGTCTTTTTGTTAACCCAATATATTAATTCCCTTTAACGAACACTTCATAATATCCAGTGCTACTGTATTTTATTCCTTCTTCTGGGTTTAAATAATGACAGAAAAAGCCATAATAAAAAACCAAATAACTGCACTGTGGCCTCACACTTTCTGGCCTGAGTTGGATTCTCACTTCCACTCATGATCACAGCCTACCCCTTGGCTTATCTTCAAAAATAGAATCCTTCCAATTCCCCTCATAATTCTAATGTTCCAAAATTCTTCTCAAGCCTCACAGGTAATTTCAGGTTTCCTCAGGATTCACAGGCAATTTCTCTTCCCACTCACACTGAAGGAAGAATACCTTCAAATATGAACTTCTGCAGCCTTCCCTCGTATTAACATTTCTATTTGTAATCCTTTCCTTGTGCCCATCAATCACACCAGAAGACATTGTGCCTTCTCATTTTCAAGACTAACTCCCCCTCCCTGTTAAGTTTGTAAGTTTGTTTTATCACAGGCTGAAAGCTCAAGGAGACCTGTAGCCCATTCCAGTTCTAAGATGAACAAGCATCTTGTTAATTGTCAAAGCTTATAATGTGATTCTGCTTCTTGCCTTCTCAATCCAGCATTCTCTTTGTTAAAGCTGTTTCACCTTAAGGCCCTCTCCATTGTTTTTGTGGACTCCTAAAACATCCTAAAGTAGAAATCTGGCTATAAAATAGCATCCCTCTAATGTTCACAGTGCATAGCTGTGAACTCCTACTAAATTTAGTATTTTAAGACAAATTTTTGTAGCAAAGTGGATATGTAATCTCATCACCAGGGAAGGATCAAGGCTGACTGGGATAAGATCCTGTCTCAAAGTAAGAATGGAAAATAAAGGAAAATATGTAGATTAAGTTAAATTAAACCATATCTTAAAATACTGAAATAACCATACCAGCATCCAATGTGGCGATGCATACACATGAGGCAGAGGATGGCAGATCAATATCAATATGAGACCAGCCTGATCTACACAGGGAGTTCCAAACTAGCTAGGGACACAGTGAAACAGTGACAAACAAATGAACAAGCAAACGATAAAACAAAACCCACACCATTGCCTTCCCGGATTTTCCGGTGACCTTGGGTGCCTAACAGATAAAAGTGAAGCTACCAGATACAGCAATCATAACCTGGTCTCCAGCTTCCGAGCCAATCTTCAGCCTCCTAACACTGTGCCCTTTGTTTAATATAAATGCTGACTCTCATTTACTCTCACACACAGTTAATAAATGCCCTCCCTATTCTGAAGCCACACTGGACTACACTCTGTTCCCTCAATGGAAGACTACCATGTGCAGCTATGTGCCCCATGCAGTGCTTTTAATCGTTGTCCTTAGGAAAAATGACTTAGCGTCATTTTAGTATTTTGCAAATATCCAACAGCTCAAATATGACCCTTCTACTGAAAATGTTTCTAATGTCCTCAATAAGAAATCATAGCCGGGCGGTGGTGGCGCACGCCTTTAATCCCAGCACTCGGGAGGCAGAGCCAGGCGGATCGCTGTGAGTTCGAGGCCAGCCTGGGCTACCAAGTGAGCTCCAGGAAAGGCGCAAAACTACGCAGAGAAACCCTGTCTCGAAAAACCAAAAAAAAAAAAAAAAAAAAAAAAAGAAATCATGATTACGTTCCTGAATTCCTACAGCACTTTGTGATAATTGTGTAGAATTTACCATAGTATTGAATTATAATTACTTATATACACATTTACTATATAATCTTTTGCACATATACACTCACTAGGTTCTAAGAAGTCTATAAGGATTACATCACACTTTATGTTTTTCCACCATTAATTTCAGTGTTTCACAACTGCAGAAGAATATTTTAAGGTGTGTTACTTTTGTTTATGCTGCATTTGCTTAACTCTGTGAAGCTGTGTTACTGTGCCTGCCTGGTGGTCTGATAAAGAACTGGCCAATAGCAAGGCAGGAGAAAGGATAGGCCAGGCTGGCAGGCAGAGAGAATATACAGGAGAAATCTGGAGAGAGAACAGATCAGGAAGTATCCAGAGAAAGGGGAGGACTCCAGGGGCCAGCCACCCAGCTACACAGCAAGCCACAGAGTAAGACTAAGACTTACAGAAGTAGTAGAATGGGAAAAGTCCAGAGAAAAAAGGTAGATGAGATAAGTTAAGGAAAGCTGGCTAGAAACTAAGCCAAGCTAAGGCCGGGTATTCATAATTAAGTATAAGCCTTTATGTGTGATTTATTTGGGAGCTGGGTGGTGCCCACCCCCCAAAAAAGAGCCAAACAACAACTGATAAATATTTGGTGAGTGAATGAATTCTAATTTTAATTGAAGGGGGAAAGTCATCAGTCAAAGGAAACAGACTGTCTTTTTTGGCACTCCCTCTGATCTGCCTTAAATTCAATGGCTTAACTTGGGTCTCACTAATTATTTAAACAAAAAAAAAAAACCCACTTTCCTTTTGACTTGATTCAGTTTTTACAAAGCCTAAAATATAACATTTATCCATGGGAAAGGAATGTTTGGCAAGGAGGGAGAACTTCATAGTGAGACAAACATATTTACAAACCCTGTTTGAGGAAAACGTAGATGGTATTATAGGTTCTCAATATTGAAGAGGGAACTAGAGTTTAAATAAACTGCTGAACATAAAATCTATTGTTAAGAGTGGAACACAGATTCGTGCCACAGAGGAAACATATTTTGATTAAATGAGCTGGTATGAGAAAGACCAAATGGAAAAGACAAAGGTCTACTTCAAGTCCATGGCTTTGGGGCATTTCACTGGACAGGCAATTTTTGCTTTGCTTTCCTTCTTTATTTGGGCTCCCCTGGGAACACTGTCACTTGAAAAATTAATTTTTCTTGGCAAGGAACAAAATACCAAATTTAGCTGGCAATTTAGTGACCCGTTCTGTAACTCGAATGTTCTTATCATACTCAAAGAGCTGACTCTATCATTTACTCTCACACACAGCTAATAAATGCTGCAAAGGAGATGATCATAAACTGAGATGCTTGATGTCCGCGTAGATCTGTGCATGACAGCTGCAGTAATGGAGGTTTAATGTTGACAATCACTTATTTGAGAATGGATATATACATCTGCTGCCTCAGGCAGATTGATAGAGAAGTTCCACTTAATACTCTACTTCCTGCCTACACAGTGTGTTCTATGCACATTCGTCTACCCTATTAGGGATTAAGTGTACATAGAACACACACTCCTCTAGACTTAATCTGAATATTTAACAGGGAGAACTTTTACTGGCTAAAAAACAGCAGCAACAAGACAGTCAACAATGGAGGAAAGAGAGGAATCCTACCTTTGATCCAGGTGGTGCTGTCAAGCCTAAAAAGGCGTAAACCGCATTATTTTCTCGGGCTTCAAAGAAGGCATCATAGTCCTTTGTGAAAAGAAGACAAGAAGAATTAGCAGTCTGCAACCCAACAAAGAACAAGATGTGCTCACAATGACTTGACTGGTTGACAGATCAGCTGTCTTCTTGGGCACTAAGCTCCATAATGCTGAAATTCTAGAAGGAATAATAGAGAGACAGGCAAGCTTCTGAGACTACGTGTGTGTAATGCCAACTTCAGAAGCTGAGGAAGAAGGACCACTAGTTCCAGACCAGACTGGGCTACACAGAGAAACACTGTCCCCCAAAAAACCAAAGAAAAGACCTGTAAAGTTAGGAGGAAAAAAGACAGAAAACGGGGGGAAAGCCCAGACAAAGCATTATGAGACAAAAAGAAAAAATTCCAAAAATACCAGTAAGTTAGTTTTGTGATAGATTCCCATTTTGAGTTTTTAAAGAGTTCTGTGAGAGCAAATATGTGTATCTCTGCATCTATATGTGTTTCTTGTGATTATTCTTTGACTCTTTTTTTTCCATTTGTTTATTTCTCTTATCTTATTCTGGTCTGTTTGTTTTTATTTAATCATATTTTATTTTACTTTACTATTCTGTTTTAGGTAACTGTTTGGTTCCTAACAATAGACAGCAAGAAAGGGTGTGGATTTGGGTGAGTGTGGATATGGAGAGGACACAGGAGGGGAAAATATAATCATGCATTGTTTGAAAAAAATCTATTTTCAATTGAAAACAATAACAAAATACAAAGAGGAGAGGAGGGAGGGAGGGAGGGAGGGCTTTTGGATACACTGGTCTTTGGGGCAGAAAATGCAGAATGGTTTATTGCACATCACATAGGATTTACATCTGCTTGCACCTCCCTCCACCACCCAAAGCAAACATTTCTCAGCAGCAGATAGCTTATTTCCAGTGGGAGACTGATTCCAATTCTCCATATTTCTGTTCTGTTACTGAATTTAATAGTAATTTCCTCCGCCTGAAATAAAACTAATATTAGCTACATATGCGTAAGGCCAGAAGACCAGTGAGACTGTGCTGTCTTTGCAAAGAGAATGAATGTTCTTGAAATGTGAGCAAAAGAAGCCTTAACCCTGAGGCTATAGAATCTTGACATGTCTCAATTTGGTTCAGCTTTACATTGTTGGCCCTAAGCCACTAAGCCTTCACCAAAAGTAGCAAGTAGATTTGTCTACAATTGTAACTTGTAATCAACAGCAAACATAGTTAAATGTCTGCTTTCTGTATGTTGCCTTGATTAGTGTGATTTCTAAACTTACTCAGAGACTGACACTGGGCTGATTTGTTAAAGCCGAGATTCTCAAAACTTGCTGATTTCTCTAGAAAATACGGTGATACAGCTCTGAGGGAAAGGTATCCAGCAGTAGGGAGCCAAGGAATACCATAAAGTCACACCACACAACAAACTTCACACAAGAGATTTATTGGGAGGGAAAAACCCAGGAGCGTGACTGCCTCTGCTCAGGTGAGAAGCAGTAGAGAACTGAGCAGAAGACAGGGTTTATACAGGATTTCTTTGGAGGCAGAGCTTTCCAGGATGGAGATTTCCAGGGTGGGGGATTGGTGGGATTTCAAGTCCTGAGCTTGGCTGCCTGCATCTGGAGAGGCTGGGTCTGGCTGTTTTGGCAGTTAGAGTGTTCTGTTGGTGGAACCTGGCAGTTGGAGGTCCTCAGGAGAAGGGCCTGACCATTCATGTGCCTCGAGGGGCTTACCAATGCCTCACCAATGGATCGTCTTTACAAGGTTGCTTTCAAGGACATTACTTTCCAGTACTTGGATCTGGACAAAAAAGGCATGGATGACCCTAACAGTTTGGACCTCAAGAAATATCAGAACATACAGCGCCATACTGGCATTTGGAAGGTAGAGGCAGGAGAATCAGAAGTTCAAGGCCATCAGCTACATAGTAGTATGGGGGTTTTTATTTATTTATTTTTGGCCAACCAGGGCTATATGAGAATCTGTTTTAGAAACAGACAGTCTTTTCTTTCCCTCATAGCCTGCATAGTCACAAAGGAAATTTTGCTTTGTGAAGGATAATAATAAGAGAATAAAAAGATAAGTTACAACATGTAGCAGGCTTTTTTGGACCACCAGCCCCCAAACCATGACACGGAGACTTATTATTAATTATGAATGCTCAGCCTTATTTTACTCTTGTCCCACTAGCTTATAATTTATTTGAACCTGTTTCTCTTCATCTACATTTTGCCTTGGGCTTTTTACCTTTCTTTCATTCTGTATGTCTTACTTTCCTGCTTTCTCTACATCTGGCCAGCAGGCTGCTGCCTGGCTGGCTGGCCTCTGGCATCTCCCTCTCTTTCTCTCTCATTCTCGATTTTTATTGAGCTTAAATTCCTCCTTCTACTTATTCTTTCTGCCCTCTTGCCCCGCCTATCCCTCTCCTGCCTAGTTATTGGCTGTTCATCTTTTTATCAGACCAATCAGGTGCCTTAGGCAAGCAAGGTGAAACAACCGTAAAACATCTTTACATAGTTAAAGTAATATTCCACAACAACAACATGGAAGAAAATAATTGTAAATCGTGTGTGTGGTAAAATTTCACATCTAAAAACACATAAAAACCATAAGGAATAACAGTAGTAAAACAAACTTAAATCTGAGAAAATGACTAAACAAACACTTAAAGAGGATAGAAGGATGACAAAGAAGCACAAAATGTGTGTTGATACCATCATTTTGATCATTATATAAATGCAAATTAAAATGACCAGAAGATACCAAGACACCAAACTATTTTGGATTGGTTTAAAAGGCTGACAATAGGGCTAAGAAGTAGTTCAGGGCTTCAGCATAATACTGGCTGAAATATGCAGCAGCGTAGAAAAAAGAACAGGCAGACACAAAACTTCTGACAATACCACGAGCTGAAGGGAAAGGCTGAAGATCAGGAACCCTTAAACAAGAATGTGAAATGGCACAATCAATCCAGACACATTCCAAATCCTTTCTAAATTAAAAATACAATCACTGTGTTTGGCAGTAAACACAATCCCAGCATTCACTGCTGGGAAATGAAAATTAGGGTTCGTACAAACATCAGAAAGTAAATGTTCAAAGTACTTAAAATTACAATGGCTCAGATCTGGAAACAATGAAACTGTCTACCAATGTACAGTGGTTAAATGAAGTATCTGTATAATGACATACCACTGTTCAGCTGCATGAGGGAAACAAAGTATTAGTGCAGGCAACAACCTGGAACTCAAATACACCCAATTCACTGAAAGAAGCCAGCATCAAAAGACTACATACAGCAGGAATCCATTTATGTAACATTACCAAAGACAAAATTATAGAGATGATGATAATCAGTACTTGCCAGGCGTTAGGGGTAGGCATAGCATATACCTATAAAGGAATATCATGAGAGTTTGAGAAATGCTTCTATACTTTCATTATAGCATTAGTTACAGAAACCAATGCATGCGTTAAAATTTATAGGAAACCACACTCCAAAAAAAGACATTACTATAGACTAGAATTTCAAACATTAAACTTAAACAAAGACAAGTAATGTAAGTATATCTTAAGAAAAAATGACAAAAATTAAAATATATAAATGAAACAGAAATAAGTACTGGAGGAGTGTGTGTGTGTGTGTGTGTGTGTGTGTGTGTGTGTGTGTGTGTGTTCCACCAAGCTGTGAGACTTTAAATGCAGAAGTTGCCAAAGCTAAAAATACAAATAAATGTAAATTCAAGTTAACTCAATTAAAAATGGGCTGAAATACCTGACTAAGACACACTCAAATGAATATCTATAAAATGCCATCAGGCTCATGAAAAAAAAAGGCCATCACAATGAATTATTGAGGAATTCTAAATTACAGCTAGTGGAATACCACCTTTAACCATCCAAGAATGAGGTTTTTCAAAAGAACAAAAATATAACGAGTGTTGAGAAAGATGGAGAGTAAGTAAACCCTTCCCCACTATTGCATGTGAATGTAAATTAGTACAACTCTTATGGAAATCATATATATAGAGGTTCCTCAGAATGTTAAAAATAGAACTACCTTAGGCCAGCCTGGTCTACATGGCAAGCTCTGGGAGAGCCAAGGTTAAATAGAGAGGTCATGTCTCAAAAAAAAAAAAATGGAACTCTGCCATGACCCAGCCAATCTCCCATTGAGGCAAATATCCAAAGGAAGTGAGGTCATTATGGGTATCGGTCTTACACCTGTATGTAGCCCTCACAGTGGAGGCAAGCGAAGTGCCTGCGTTTGGGGCCAGCCTGGCCTATAGAGGAGCCGGGTTTAAAACACGAAGAAGAATGAAATTTAAAAAAAAAAAAAGAACAAGAATGTCAAAGAGATTGCTACAGTTGGATATTTACTGCAGCACTAGTCACAGGAGGCAAGAAATGGAAACGGCCTGTGCCCTGCAAGGGATAAGGAAACAAAGAAAATTCAGTATGTGTGCACAGTAAAACACCAATCAGCCTTTTAAATAAAACCCTGCTATTTGTGACACGGATGACCCTAGAGAATTAAAATACAAATACCATGTTTTTTACTTTTGAGTTAATAAATCTACATATGAGGTTAGCATTTTAATGAGTATACAAAGTAAAATATTTCATTATGGAATTTGTGGGTGTGTTTATATGTACTTTGTGTGTGTGCATACACGTGTGTACATGTGTGTAGAGGCAAGAGGAGGTCACTGTCAGATGTGCCCTACCTTACACTTTGGAACAGGGTCTCCCTCCCAGCGAACCTGGAACATTAAAGGCACGCTCTGCCTTGGCCAGCATTTTAACCTGGAAACTAGGGAGGTGAACTCGGGTTCTCATGCTTGTGCAGTAAAAACTTAACTGAGTCGTTTCCCCAGCCTCACATCACGGGATTTTCAGATGTCATTTTGGTTGCTTTGCTTCCTCTCCTGCCTTCCCCAACCTGCTCGGCCCTCCTCCACCCACTAGTTCTCTTCTGCTTTTGTGTCTCATGGATACAGTCACCTTCTTCTTTGCTATTTATATTCCCTCCACACATGCCCTTTAAAAGTTCTTTCCCCCTCTTCAGGGTCTTTCATCTTTCATCTGGTTTATGACCTGTATCTACACACACACACACACACACACACACACACACACACAAATTAAAATCCAGGATCCACATATGAGAAAAAACATGAGTATTCCACCTTCTTCTCTGGATTATTGCTTGGAATAAAAAAAAATGTCCAGCCCTCAACATAGAGACACACAGCTGTACAATGTGCAGAGAATGAGACTTTGGGACACTCAGCCCTAAATGGGATGCCTCCATCAGATCCCTCCCTTCAGAGCTCAGGGATCTATAATGAAGAGGAGGCAGAGTGTGAGCCAGAAGGGACAGTGGACACCAAGAAAACAAGGCCCTCTAAATAAACATGATCGAGGCTCATATGAACTCAGACAGACTGTGACAAGCACACACAGGGCCTGCACAGGTCTAAGCCAGTGTGGGTGCCAATGCTGAGAGGGGAAGTGGACACAGCCCCCATCCCTAAGCCAGAAGCTATTTCCAATTGATAACAGCTAGCAAAGGAAAACTTAGTTCTCTCCAGTACAGTCTCACTGGGTATATAAACCACATTTCTGGACAGGCCTCATGCCCAGCAGTAGATAGCTAAAACAAAATGAACTTGATGGTATTTTTGGAAATTGTGTGTGTGTGTGTGTGTGTGTGTGTGTGTGTGTGTGTGTGTGTGTTATAATACTTAGTTTAGACATTTTTTTTAATCTTACTGGTCTTTTGCTTGTATGTTGTAGTTTCCGGTTTTACATTTTTATGGTGTGTGTGTTTGTGTATGTGTGTTTCTAGTGCTCTTAGTCTCTTACTTGCCTGTTTGTTTTCTAAAAAGTCAGAAAAAGAAGGTGAAGCCAGATGTGAGGGAAGATGAGGATGATCTGGAATGAATTGGGGGGAGGGGAAACTATGGATCAGAATATATTGTATGAAAATTATTATTATTATTATTATTGTTATTATTATTTTGAGACAGAGTGTCTCTGTGTAGCAGCCCTGGTTGTCCTGGAACTCATTCTGTAGACCAGGCTGGCTTCAAACTCACAGAGATCCGCAATTCTCTGCCTCCCAAGTTATGAAATTAAAGGTGTGTGCCAACTTGCCTGGCTGAAAAAATTATTTTTAGTAGAAAATAATAATAGTAATTACTAGTTCCAACTAGTTTCTTGCAAATGTCATGACTTTGTTTTTCATTACGGCTGGATAAAATTCCATTTCATCCCATTTTAGCCATTTATCTGTTGATACACATCAATATGTATGTTCTCACATGTGAAATCTGAGCAAATCAAGCTTATAAAAGCAGAGAATAGTACCATTGGCACTAACATATTTTCCTTACATCCTGGATAAACTTTTGAGGTCCTTACTCCAAAGTGAAACTAGCAGGATTCTGACACCAATGCTATGCTGAGACTGGTAAATTATTCAAGGTTTAAAACATATATACAATATCCCCACGTAACCAGTTGTAAGTAACTAAAATACAATTCAAAAGACTCCAGTGTATCAGGCATTGTGGCATATGTCTGTAATCCTAACACTTAACTGGCAGATACCTAATCATGAATTTAGGCCTGCCGGGGCATATAGCATCTTCCAGGTCACCCTACATTACAAAATGAGATCTTGAAGACCCTGTCTCAAAAGGGAAAAAGACAGGAGTCATACAGGAAAGTATTTTTATTATCAAAAATTAATTTAAAACAACTTACATAAGTCTTTAGATTCATGTGAAATAAAGCAATTCTACAATCTGTATAAAAATCTGGTAATATAATGCTATGTAGAGGATCTAGTTGCCTATCTCAAGTATTTCAGGGTCAAGTTATATTATCATTTGTTGGTTCCAGACACAGAAAAAACAAATGTTTGTGAACCTAAGAAGGAAAAGAACATTTTTTTCCTTAATTAAGCCAGATCAATTCAATTGTTTGACAAATGTTTATTAAGTATACAACTATATAGACTAACACTGTTCTTTTGTTTATTTTAAGAAATGGTCTCACTATGTAATTCAGGGTGGGTTCAAAGTCCTTATCTTCCATATCTCCCGAATGAGCTGGGATTGCAGGCATATGCCCCATGCCTGGCATAAGCAGTGTTCTTGATGTTAAATATACAACAGTAGGCAAGGTAGTTTGCATTCTGAAGCAATTCTCTTAGGGAGAAAATGTAAAGAAACTTGATTTACACCTCTGGAATCCCAATCACATTAACCAAGAATGCATGACACCATATTTTGTTACCATGTTAATTCTCATTTCATTCTTACAACAAGACTGTCAGAACTGAATTCTCCTTATAAATTTGCTATCTTGTATAGCGGAGTTTCACATATATAGGTAGAGTAGGAACCTCTGTCATCATCTAGTCAGATAATCAGATCCTGTGCCACAGTCCAGTGGCATTCAGTAGGAGATAATTTCTACCCAGGGGCTATCTGGCAATGCCTAGAGTCATTTTTCATGGTTCAGAAAGTGAATGCTACTGCCATTGCATGGGTAGAAGGCAAGGTTCCTGTGAAAGATCCGACAGTGCACAGGGGATCTCTACACACCAAAGAGTTGTCCTTCTAAGGTGTCAGTAGTACCAAGGTTGGGAACTCTTCGGATAAGTAAAAGAAAATGAATAGGGAAAGCTAATTACTCGGTATCTCCAAGTAAAAAAGGGCAAGGATCCAGAGATTAGCAATTGCAAGATGTTGCTAGCAAAGCTGCCTGGTACTCCAGATTAGTATGAGAATTATTATGATGCACAAAGCACAGAGCATAGCCACTAGTGGACAAGTTTTCTGTGAGTGACTGCTACAAGTTCTTCTCTCTGGGATTGCAATCTTAATTGTCCTTGTCATTCAACTCCCGGCCCCCACCCCGGTCAGGCACACAGCAGCACTAGACAGAAAATGGATTCCTTTTCCACCGATACATATGTATTTGGTTTACTGGGTCTCACCTCCTGAAGTTTCACTTCCAGCTTGGTAATTCTTAGTGATACTTGCCCCCTTTCTCCCCACAAGATAATCCATTCCCCTGAAGGAAGAGCTAAACCAGGGAGATATGGCTTCCTGACGAACTCTTGAGACCCACACTGTGTTTGTTTTCAAAAATCAAACAACAGGCATTTTGAAAAGGAGACAGAAACAATATGTTTTATATTTTCCAGAAACTAAAGGGACTTCGAAAGTGCTCAACACACTCAACACACAGAAAATGACAAATGGTTGAAGATAGATGTGCACATCTTTTTTTGTGGCTTGAACATAATGCACACTTGGATCAAAACATCACATGGTAAAATGAGAATATGTACCAACGTCTATGCCACTAAAAAACAATAGTTCTAAAATGAACAGTCGAGATCACATATTGGATTACATTGGACTGACTGACCATTTTTTCAATTGTTTTAATTTTTTAATTAAAATACTAATTTCATTGTTTTCCCTTTCAATGAATTCCCCCCTTGAATTCATGGCTTCTATTTTAATTTGTGTGTGTGTGTGTGTGTGTGTGTGTGTGTGTGTGTGTGTGTGTGTGTGTCCTAACTACATAAATACAACTTGGCCATGGACTGGCTGACATTTGCAGCCCCTTCTAGGTACTGATTTGCAGAAATTTCATAAGAATAGCCTAGGTGCCTTCACCTATCTTCAGATATAGTTTACACACTGGTCCTATGTTCAATAACATGAAATCTGCAAAAGAATTGACAAATTCACTGATGGAAAACTTCTGTCACTGAACTTCCCCATGTTGGTCTCTACCCCTCCCCTACACTGCACTAATGAGCAATAAGAGGTTCTTTAAGAAAAGGCATCATCTTCAGTCTTCTATAAAACAGTGATGTAGAGGATTTGTACTGGTGCCTCTGAAAACATTGATTCAAGCCCGGGTGTGGTGGAAAGCTCCTATAATTCCAGCAATCAGAGATCAAGCAGGAGGATCGGTAGTACAAGATCATCCTCAGCAACAGAGGAATCTGAGGCCAGTCTCAACTGTCTCAAAACTAATAGATCTAGAAAGAAAGACTCAGGAGAGAATAGGACTGTTCATAAAAGAGGGAATCCCACTGCAGAGGAACTTCCAGTGGAGAATCCACACCCCAGGAGTCAGGAAAGGAACATGAGAGTCCAGATGACAGCCAACACTCAGGCCACGGTCTGACCGGAATCAAACTGAAGAGAAAGCCAGTGTTTGTCCTTACACATTTACACGTTTTGTTTGTTTGATTTTTGTTCCCGGAAAGCAAAATACTATGTAACTGCTTAAGGTGGCTGCAGAGGGCCAATGACTGGGTGCAGAAGCGGCTGTCCCTGGGCTAGGAGGGAGAGCTGAAAGGTGTAAGCTCATTGGAGGCAATATATTTCAATAAACAAGACTGAAACTGCTTCCTTACCCCACGGTACTGGCCTTCATTGAAAATCTGAGGTGGCAGGGGGTACCCTGTGGCTGGTCGACTGTTTTCAGGTACATTTTCTCTCATCCACTTCCGATTCTCTTCATTGGCTGCAATATCTTTTTCTTCAAATCCGATTTTGTTGGCTTCTAAGAAACCAAGCACATCTTGCTGTTTCTTCTTAATCTAGGAGCCAAAGGGGAGAGGGGAATGACACTGTTAAGCAAGTAGCGTTTATTCTTTTTCTTTCTTTTCTTGGACTCAACAGAGTTTTTTTTTGTTTAAGAATATGTAAGTATATTGAAATCATATATGCATGCAATAACAATTAATGAAAAAAGAGGTCATGAATTTCAAGGAAAGTGGAGGTGGATGCATATGGAAGTGTTTGGAGGGATAAAGGGAAGGAAGAAATGTAAATGACAATCACAAAAATAAACAAAAATGACACAGTTTTAATAAAAAAGTAATGAGATCTTTACTAAAAGGTCAAAATAATTTACCACTCAATTCTAGTGATAGAGATTTCAACACTGTGGTGATATTTTATTTGTGCTGAAATGTGGTGATATTTTATTTGTATGTTAATAAATAAAGTTTGCCTGGAGATCAGAGGAAATGACAAGCCATTTTAAGTAAACACAAAAGTCAGGCAGTGGTAGCACATGCCCATAGTCTAATTACTTGGCAGGCGGGGTCTCTGTGTTCAAGGCAACACTTGGGAACAGAGCCAAGTGTGGTGACACAGGCCTTTAATCCCAGAACCAACCATAGAGACCCGGAGGTCTGAACAGATAAGCAGTAACAAGGAAGTGAGGTAGCTGGGCTAAGAGCCAATGAGAGGGCAGAACAACAAGGCAATAAAAGCCTGGGTAGACAGGAAGTCATGGCATTTTGGAAGCTACAGAGCTGCTGAGATAAGGTTGGTTGGTGGCTCTCACTATTTCCCTGATCTCTAAGGCTTTCACCCCTATATTTGGCTCCATGATTTTTATTTAATAAGACCACTTAGAAATTCGTCTATACAACACAGTTAATACTTATGAGTCAGCAGGCATGAATTTAGACATAGATCAAATTTGCAGGACAGAAGATACATTTTCCCTCAACATTGTCTTGTTGATGATGTCTCAAAAGTGAAGACCCTGCAGGTCCTTTTATCAGTCTCACTTTCACCTTTTTGCACTAAAAGTTCCCATATCAAATAATGTCAACATAATTCTAGCTCATGCATATCTCTAACTGCACAAGGATGGTTAATTCAAGCACCTTAACCAGCAGAAATGACTCCATGTGCCTCAGAATCCCTTCAGCCTATTTTAATGGTTCAGAGAAAAATCTGCCTATATACTAAGTCTGTAACATAACCTGTACTACTCATTAGCTCATAACATGCACAGTTAAGAAGCCTTTCCATGTTCCTGCTTCTTCACTCAATTATTACATAGAGATTACATACTTGTTTTGTCTCCTTATCACACCAAGTTAATACTTCCTACCTAGGAGAAACCTCTAAAATGCATTTATTTGGAAACCTTATATCATATATCTATGTTTATAACTATGTTTGAAGCCACCTTTTTTTTTTTGTTTTTTTTGAGACAGGTTTTCTCTGTGTAGCTTTGGAGCCTTTCCTGGAACTCACTCCTTAGCCCAGGCTGGCCTCGAACTCACAGAGATCTGCCTGCCTCTGCCTCCCGAGTGCTGAGATTAAAGGCATGAACCACCACTGCCCAGCTTTAAAGCCCCTTTGTAACATATCTGAACTATATAAAGAATATGTAGGAAAAAAGATTTTATGGAGTCATACTCGGAGGACACACATGACAGAAGCATTTAAAAAAATTCAAAGTAAAATATATTATAAAGAAGTGGCCCACACAGTGGAAATCAAAATGTGAAGAAAGAAACTCACATGCCAAGCCCTTCTAAATTCACATTTCCCTCCCGTACCTGTGTGTACATGCAGGGGTTATATGTTGGTCGAAATTATTTATGACTATGGCTACATATTTTATTTTAAATAATACAACCCAAGTAAAGTTTCTCAATTAACTCCAGTAAAAACTAGAATTTCTGGTGCCTATTTGGATGGAATACTAAAAGTATTTTCAAAAAGATCAATTATAATCCAAAAAAATACCACAAAATTAATTTTGCTAATACTATTATTTCTTCACTGATATATAAAATTAAACTTTCATTTCTAAATGGAAAATTTGAAAAATAATCATTGAGAGTCAGTAAGTGCAAACATCTAGTATATAGTATACTTGGAGGAAGGCTCAAGTCAGTGACTTCCAACCTTTGTCACATAGTAGGGAAGTTCATTCAATGTATCAAGTAATTTGTGAATTGTTAGCCTATTTACAGATCTGAGGAAATATAAAATGTGGTACTTTTAGGACCTAGAATTCCAACAATAAGAATTATACAGCCCTAGCAGATTATCATCAGAAATGGTACCTAACAATTATTTAATAGTATTTCTTAGATCTGTCATTAGTGATAAACAAAGCACTTTAGTGGAGTCTTTACTTCTAAAGAAAAATAGCACTTGTATCCTCTGAATATTACAGTCTACTGGAGAGCTAAGCCATAGACATAAGCTCAACTGTAACACACTACTTAAGTTAGATGCTAAGAGAACAATGCAGGATGGTTAACTGAGAAGGGACCAGTGACTTACAAAGCCAGTAAGACAAAAAGAGCAAGCAATAGTTGCTATTAGCAATGCCTTTAGGCTAAATGTAATAATGACAGCACCAATACACGAGTCTCCACCCATCTCCATGTTTTTAGTCAAAGAAGGTGAACTTAGGAACTTAGTAAAGATTAATAAAACTGGGGCTGGGAAGATAAATTGCCTCAGCACAAGATTCTGAATTTTTATCCAGAAACAGAATTTTTTTTAAAAAAAAGCTGCACATGATGGCACTCACATGTAATCCCAGCATTAACAAGACAAAGACAGGCAGAGCCGTGGATCTCACTAGTCTCTCTCTGTGGCACACTCTGAGACAGTGTGGGACCTCTCTTACAAACAAGCCGGACAGTAGCTGAAGAAAAACATCACACACACACACACACACACACACACACACACACACACACACACACACTGGCCAGCTATGAAAACTGAGCCCCAAAGTGACAACATACTGTACTTAAGACAAACTGAAGGCTTAGTATTACAAAATGAGCTGGGTCATGTGCTCCACTTCTACATTTCTTACAAACAACTGAAATCTACAAATGAAAACCACAACTGTATAGTTAAATGGGCTTTTCTTTTTTAGACAAATTCCAATTTGTGACCCAGTCAACTCCCTTATTTACAAATTCAGATACAAAAATTCTCTCTAGTTGGTTGTGTTTCTTTCCAATTGTGCTCAGGAAGGGCAACTCAACAACAACAGAAGGCCCCGCCTTTTCCTAACCTGTGCTAAGGATTTAACAGTGAGTGGAAGTGAATGAACAGCAGTCGAGTTCCCTGTCCTCACTTGTTTCACCGTATTTTCAAAATACTCAGGTCACAATCAACTGAGTAAGTAAAACCTGCAATGCATCCGGTTTACAACAAGGCAACAATTCCGAGTTAAGGTAAGTGTTAAGAATTCCCTTACTCCAAGAGCAAGCTGCCTAGCAAACCATGGCTTTGACTGAGGGACTTTGCCTCAATGACTAAGGTGGAAGAGCAAATGAGCATGATTCCCAGCATCAACCTCAGGCCTCTACATGCATGCACACACAAGTGCATGTGTGCCTACACTCAGTCAAAAATATGCAAGCACACGTATGCACCCTACACATATACACATGAAAATGGAGGGAGGGAGGAAGGGAGGGAGGGAGGGAGGGAATTAAAAAGGAAGGAAGGAAAAAAGGAAGGAAAAGAAAGAATTCCTCTGTCCAGGCATAGTGGTTCATGCCTATAATCCCATCACTTAAGGAGGCTGAGTCAGAGGATGATCACTGGGTTCTGAGGCCAGCCTGGGTTAGAAGCTGAGATTTTTGCCTAGATTCCCCCTGTATAAACTTTAAATGCCATGTGATAAAGGTACAAGACAATGCTTTCCCATGTAATTCCAAGAAGCAATTTCCAAGGCTTTCTCTATGCTAATACTGATGGTCGTTGAAGAAGGGAGACTACTGCTTGTCCCCAATAATACCATTCTAACCTATTCATCCAGGTCCACTCCCTGTGTGACGTTCTCAGCAGGGTCTGACTGCCAGCAGTCTACATTACCCGGTCTGGAGCAGTCCCACCTTATCCACATAGTATTAGGCTCCTGGTCATCACTGAAATTGAAGATAGGATTGAGCTTTTATGTACTGTATTCTTTCTGGAATATGCATGGTCATAATAAAGTATAAGTTATATATTAGGTACAGTAAAATAGCAATAAGAATTAATACTAAAAATAGAACAGTTACAACAATATATTGTCACAAAACTTATGTGACTGCTCTCGCTCTCAACTAGCACACACAATGGGTAGTGCGTAGAGCATGGGTATGATGGACAGAGACTGCTCACATCCTGGCTGAGAGGAACAGGATGGCATCAGATTTCATCACACTACTTTGAATGGCAATTTAAATTTTATGAACTATTATTTTCTGGATCCATCAATATTTTGGACTGCCGTTTGCCACAAAAAGTTAAAGAGTGAAATCATGGAAATGGAGGAGGGGACTACTGGTCACAATGTTTGATAACCATTTCATACGTTGAAGTTATAGTCCTTTGGTGAGATGATAAGGCACCTGGGCATAGGGACCATGCCTTTAACTTCTGTCTTCCCATCCACATAGAAATAGACACAGAAATAGAGTTCCCACTCATCTGTTACTCAGTTTCCCCTCAAAGAAGTACATCTGTCATTAAGTAAGAAGCCAGCAACTAAACCCCAGACTATTCGAATTTCACCATGTTTTCCTTTAATGCCATTTTTCTGTTCCCTTTCGGGATACCACATTCTGCTTAGCCATCATGTCCCCTTAGTTTCTTCTGCTCCGTGACATTTCCCAGACCATTCTCCCCAACATCTCGGCACTTTTGAAGCATACTTGTCAGACATATGGCAATGCCTCTCAAGTCAGACCTTACCTTGTTTTACTCCCTGATAACAAGACCGGGAGGAATTATGAATTTGGGGGAAGAGCATATAAAGGATGAACAG